TGAGCCTGCGTTTCACTTACTGAAGACAAGACTGAAAGCAAAAAGCCCCCAAAACAAGTAGGACCTAAAAATGGTTTTATTACAGGCCTTTCAGAGCATCACCAGGAAAGATACCCAACGTCTGGTGACGTCTATGGGTTGCAGACGTTGGGCAGTCATCAATTGCAAAGGATTTGCAAACATGGCAAATTTTATTTAAGATTATGTTTTGTGTCTAATTACTTTTGGTCCCCTGAAATGGGGGGACGATGTATAAAAAGGGCTGTGATTCCTATAAGGTTCACCCTATATAGACGTCAATACCCTCGAATGAAACCTGACATTCTGCACTTTAACCTCATAGTCATTGTTCTATTTCAAATCCAATGTGCTGGAGTACAGAGCCAAAACAGCAAAAATTGTGTCACAGTCCAAATACGTATGGACTGCACTGTATGTCCATTTCTAAAATTCCACAAAGACAAAAAAAAACTGTTCGGGACACTAAACATCGAGTGCAGCAAGGGTCATGAGTGGAAATTGGCAACAGAAGGACTTAAGATTGAATAGGAGGCTGTTCTTTCTGGACATTGAGGATAACAAACTATCCAGCTGAACTGAGAAGATGACACACTGACAGCCTTTAGCAAGAGACCAATATTTTGTGGTCAACACACTACTTATCCACCAGATCAAGATAAGTCTTTCTCATGGTGCCTTTTATATGTTCTGATGTTTTCTCAGCACCCATGAGCACCACACACACTGAAGTGCATTCAGACAATGGTAAGTCTTTGACCTGTGTGGATTATCAGTGTCTTTGAGTCCCTGGCTTGTCCTGTCCTGTCCCAGCGTTGAGTGGACACTGGGGGGCTGGGCTGTGTCCTGTCCTGTTCAGACTGGGCTGTCTGACTGCTGAGTGACTCAGAACCTGTCACAGGGCCCATGATGACAGATTTAATACTTTTTAACTGTAATAGCAGACTTGGGGTAAAGAAATAGTGTTCACCATTATTTTATTTAATTATTTTTATTAAATTTGAGTAATCTTGTCTTTTAGCTGACAGTTCCACAGAGAACACAAACGCAGCAGCAGACTCTAATAGTAAGTTTACTCCTTTATCTTCTGGCTTGTGAGTCGTGGATCAGTGAAAGGAGGAAGTGGATTCTCTCCAGGACCCAGAGCTTTCATTTCTCAAGAAAGACAGCGCTGTTAAACAGACAACCGTGGCCACTTTCAAGTGTCGGAACACTCACTCTTAACCTTTAAAAAACTGTGACTCTATGAAAATGTAAAGAAAAAAATGTGTAGAAAAGAACAAGTAAAGGTTTATTCCAGGCTAAAAAGAGAAGAGGGGAAACACAACATTTTGGCTGTGTAGCCTTCAGGTGTGAAAACCAGCCTCACAGTAAAACAGTATTCTTTACTGAATCTGAAAAATTGACAAATTTTCTGAAATGAAATAAACAGGGTGCGTTTTCCTTTTTTCCAGGTAGGGTGAAGAGTCTGGTTGGAGTGTTTGTGACTCTGGGTCTGTTAACCATAACAGCTATTGCTGTCACCCTGGTGAGTCTCTGTGCTTTAGTGCTGATCTGTACACAACACACAACCGACCTCCCTCTCCCCCTCCCGTCTCCTTGTACCCCCGCCCCCACCACCCACATTCTCCTCATCCTCCCAGGACTCCCAGCTCCTCCTGAAGAGCCTCCTGCTGGGAGTGGAAGTGCACAGACTGGGGTTCAGCACTGCTGCTCCAGCACTCAGAGCCTGTGTTTCAGCCCTGAGCCTGTCTGAAGTCTGAAAGGGAGCTGACTGCAGATCTTACACATAGTGTCCCCACTGTATCTCCAGTCAGACCTCCTGCAGCTACTGACTGGATTTCTCTTCTTTCTGTCTCAGATCCGGAAATACAGGCGCTAGGCTGGAATGGGGAAGTAAGTGTTGATCCAACAGTCCTTTTTAATACCCCTCCTGTATCGATTCAGGAATAGGAATGTGCCGCGTGGGCTGCTGTATAGTCAGACTGTGACCAGACTTTCTCTCCTCTGTTTCCAGGGATGATCCAGAAGAAATGCACCAGAGCAGAGAGCCTCTGTTTGCTGGTAACTGAAAGTCTGGCCTTTGTAAGGGACAGTTCAGGGGGAGCCGTTAAAGGAGTCTTCATCTACACTGTCCTACTGTTCAGTTTCTTACTTTTAATCTGCTCCACCTCTTGCTCTTAGGAGCAACTTCGCTACTGAATAGGTTGTACCTCACTTGATAGTAGTTTGGCTGCTGCTGCTCAGAATTGTGGACTAGCCATTCTGTAAAATAACTGAGAGTAATATGGAAGAGGCTGCTTCCGAAGACCTCAAGGGACAGGTCGGGCTCAAAGCTCAGCCTTTGATCCGGCCTGTTTTCTCTGGGGAAGAGAATGACCGAAATGTAGCATGTCCGTCCATCTCTGCGAGACCCGATTGTGTTGGTGGTGAAACGTGTGGATACACTGCCCTCTGCTGGCCAGAAGCGTCGGTGCACCTGCACTTTACCTGAATGTGACAAAACGCTGATCACAGCCACCAGCGACACCAGAGACCCGGGTTTGAATCCAGTTGGGCCGGTCTGCCTTAGTAGAATTGAACACAACATGAGCACCTACAGAACATACATCCTATACACCTGCTGGCGCTTTACTGCCAAGAGTGTGTTATTTTTTTATTCTCCAGGGAGTTCCTAAATGTATCTGGAACAGCTGGGCTGGTGTTTTATGTATATATTTCTATTATATTTTTTACAGCAATGTTTCAGGGAAGGGTTTGGAGCTATCTGTAACAGTTACAATGGGCTTGGTGCCTTGATTGCCTGGACGCTAATGGCCACTAATGGCAGGACTGTTTTGCCACCCAAGGAGCCAGTGGACACTTGTCAGTGGACAGAGCCAGTGAGATGAGGCCTGGACAAGACTGGGTCCTGAAGGACTGCACTCCTGTGTCTGCCTTGTCCCTGCTGGTCACTTCGGAAACACGTGTCTGTGGCTCTCTGACGGCTCAGATCTTACACGCTACCCAAGAGCTGCACACACCAGCGGCAGCACTGATGAGTGGGACGGAGTTGTGTCTGCTGGCAGCAGGGAACGAGATTTCTGTCTCACCGGTGTTCATGTCGTTCGGGAATTCTTGGACTCTTGTTTTCACTTCTGTAAATCCTGTGATGTTGCTGTGTCCTGTACTCTGAGGAAGAAGAGCTGCTGTATAAAGTGTTGGCTGGGAAAGGCTGCAAAACAAGACGGACTGAGTGGTCTCTCATTGGTAACCATTGTCCATTGTCTCACTGCGTGTCCAGTCCAGGTTCACGGGGGGCTGCAGTCCATCCCAGCAAGCATGGGTGCAAGGCAGGGGCCACCCTGGCCAGGACACCGGTCCATCACAGGACACACTCACACACCCTGGACAGGACACCGGTCCATCACAGGACCCACACAAACACACACACACTCCTGTGGACGGCAGAGGAATCCTACTCTATTGGGCCCCTGAGCAAGGCCCTTAACTCCAACTGCTCCAGGGGTGCTGTATAAATAGCTGACCCTGCGCTCTGACCCCCATCTTCTCTCCCTGTCTGTGTGTCTCATGGAGAGCAAGCTGGAGTATGCGAAAGACAAATTCCTAATACAAGAAATAGTATATGGCCAGTAAAGTGATCTGATCTTATCTTATCCAATCACATCCAGGCCAGTTTTCCGAATTAAGCCGCATGTATTTGGGAGGAAACCCACGTGAAACGGGAATAGACTCCAGGCGGCTCCCCAGCGCCCTGTTCTTCACAGGCAGGACTGACCGTCTCGGCCAGCCGGCGGAGGAGCGGATTCCTCCTGCTGCTGCTAGAGGGCAGTGCAGCCAGAAATAATAATAATAATAATAATAATTGCTACACTTATATAGCGCTTTTCTGGACACTCCACTCAGAGCACTTTACAGGT